ATGGTTCTCCAGAACCTGGACCTGATACTGGCCTGCAGGAAATGAGCTGCAGATGCCAGGACTGCTTTGGCATCCTGAGGAAGGTATGAGGTGGCTCACAAGCCACCATCTGACTGTACTTCCCCAGGACACTCCCTTCAGTGAGGAATGCCCAGGGAGGAGGAACCTGGCATTTCTGAGAAGCCAATGAGCGTGCTGTCCTCTGTAGGAAAAGGGTGATGGAAGATGCTGCCTTGGCCCTGGGATCCCTAGTGTCTGGGCATTATGAGATTCTCACAATCAAAGAGAGACCAACAATCAAAGAGAGACCATTTGACCATCAGGAGTAGGTGGGTATAATGACAACAATGACCAGCAAGGCCAGAGTGGCAACCAGGTGTGCTGGCCAACAGCCATCTTAAGCAATGGCTCATAAACCATAGCGTTCCTAGAGGGTGAGATGGTTAGGCAACCAGCGAGGGAGTTGCTTGATGTGTCTAACAAGAAAAAACAAATCAAGAACTCATGAGCCAAAGGCTGGTATCAGCTCCTGCAATGGAAAATTCATATCTTCCCCCAGTTGCCAGGTCTGACAGCCAACTGACTGAACAAAGGGCTGGATGGATTCCCATCAGGGAGAGCCCTGCGATGCCATTCTAAGTACTATACACCCAATAGTTCCCAATCCTTCCCCAGTGGGACTTAGGGTACCTGAGTCCTAAGGAAAGTGGCACCCCCAGACCTTCTGAGGATTGTTGGGTATGGTCTGAGCTGATACTGACACCAGAGGACCTGAAATGCCATCACTCTCCCTTATCGCTCTTTGAGAGGCCGGGGAGAGAGGGAGTCTTGGCGCCAAGTCCTTCTCACAGTGGGTCCAATAAGTCAGAGGACCCACCTGATGGCTCTTTCACTGGTCCTGAGTGCACCTTGGGATGGTTTTACCTAACCACCCCCGGAGCCCTCACCATGAATGAGAGCCACTACGAAGGACAGGGCTGAGTGGAGGTCCTGGAACTGGACACCCCCTCCACTCAAGATGAATCAGAAGCAAGACCACAATTCCTCCTGAAATAGCAGGTATCGTGTCCCCTCCACAAAGACTCACAGGACATCCCCATCACACCCAATTCAAATGACCTGTGAGCCCCAGTGAAAAACAGATCCTGGTGGATGATGTGGCCACCTACCCTGTGGGTGCAGAGAGGATTACCAGGAACAGTCAGCAGAGCCTTTGGCATTTGGTTTGTGGCTAATGTTCTAATCTTTTCAAAACTATCAATAAAAAGGATCAAATGCAGTTTGTTTGTAAGTGGGCAGGACAGCAGTACACATTCTCTCTTGCCCCAGGGCCCTACTGACTGCCCCACTTTCTCCCAGAGACCTTGACTGTGAGGACATTCCATGGGCTGTCCCTCTGGTTTGATATACAAATGACAATATGTTATTTGGACCTGGGAAGCAGTGACAAGTCTCTGAAACTGAAGCTTAGAAAAGCAGACAGAGCCCTAGCCAGTTTGGCTCAGGGGACAGAGTGTCATCCTGAGGACTGAAGGGTCGTAGGTTTGATTCCCAGTCAAGGCCACTTATCTAGGTTGCAGGCTCAATCTCCGGTGGGGTGCGTGCAGGAGGCAATTAATCGATGTGTCTCTCACACAGATTTTTTTCTCTCTCTTTCCTCCTCCCTTCCACTCTCTAAAAATCAATGGAAAAATATCCTTGGGTGAGGATTAACAAACAAACAAAGAAGAAAAAAATAGAAAAGCAGACAGAGAGGATGGATATAGAGAGCCTCAGAAGCAGCATCACCTAAAGAGACAGCTTCCAATTGGTGACTGTCATGGTCAAGGTTAACGGAAAATCCACTTCATGGCTCCAAAATGACCTTTAAGGATATGATGGAGCCCAGTCTGAAGGAGCCAGCATTCTTAATATCTGTGCACTGTGGCACCACCAACAGAAGGTCAAGAAATGTGAGGGAGGAATGCAGAGTCTATTCCCCCCCAAATGAAAAGAATGTAAACTTTGCCCTGTGTGCAAATTCCACCCCTTCTAAATTAATTAGCACTGGGACAAAATGCTGAAAAGCCAGTTTTATTTCACACTTGCAGGGGTGTGGTAGCATCAGTACTTACAGTGCATGAGATCATAAAAAACATGTAAAATAAAGTCAATCCCAAGCAAGGCCAAGCCCACATCTTCCCAGGGTCCCTCATGGACATAATACATATATTATTGGAGGTAAAAACAACAACACAGCAGTAATAACAAGATACCCTCAAGACCAAATACACATTAGGGATTTAATACTGTCCAACATAACATTTTTAAGTTATTTATTGAGTTTAGATTATTTCAGTAGTAAATAAGCATTTAAACCAAACCAACCATTAATCATAACACTGATATTTACACTAAGTTCTCAACCTCTGAGTCACGACCCCTTTGGCAGTCGAATGACCCTTTCACAGGGGTCGCCTAAGACCATCCTGCATATCAGATATTTACATTACAATTCATAACAGTAGCAACATTACAGTTATGAAGTAGCAACGAAAATAATTTTATGGTTGGGTCACAACATGAGGAACTGTATTTAAAGGGCCAGAAGGTTGAGAACCACTGCCTAAACCCTTTCAACTCACCCTATTAACCCACAAGCCTACAGAATTCCTGACATGAACTGTTCAGCTCTAAGATGACAGAGCCCTAAGCCTCCTAGACTGTTAGCACCTACGGTTGGCAGGAGAGAGATTAAGGAAAGGGGAGAAGATAGAGGTGGAAGAGTCTTTGTACACCATGGGCTTCCCAGGCCCTTTAGTTCACAAAACAAAGAGAAAGAGAAGGAATATTTCAGATGACTATAACACAAACTTGAATTATTTCAGATCTATGTATCTTTCACACATGAAATGTCATGGAAACACCATTACATAAGTCAGGCTAGAGAAGCAAAACCACCACAGGGAATGGTGAGAATTGATATAGATCTGGAAAATTTGTAGATGAGCTGCTACATTCTATTTTTATTCATTTTGTTTACTAATTTATGTCTGTCTTATTCTGTAAAGATTTTTGTTGAGCATCCCAAAGAACTGTGGGTAAAGAGTGTAAATTACAATGGAAGAGGAGGGGAAATGACAGATGGAGGAGAAATGGGCCCAGTTGGGACCAGTTCCCAATCCTCTAGGACTCACAGACATTTGCAGATTTAATTCTGCCCCTTCATCTCAGAAAAAAGTGTATAGTTTTTATTTTTAAATAAAAAATTTAAATATAAAGTATTTCTCAAATGATCTTCCACAAGGTGCCAAGACCATTCAATGGGAAAAAGACAATCTCGTCAACAAATGGTGTTGGGAAAACTAGATATCCACATGTAGAAGAATGAAGTTGGGCCCTTATCTTACATCACATATAAAAATTAACTCAAAATGGATCATAAGCTTCATGATATTAGACTTGGCAATGATTGCTTGAGTACGACAACAAAAGCACAGGAAGAAAAAACGAAAATAGACAAATGAGGCATCCTTAAAAACTTCTGCACATGAAGGGCAATAGAGGGAAAAGACAATCTATGGATGAGAGAAAATATCTGCAAATCATATATCTGATAAGGGGTTAATATCTACACTAATAAAAGAGAAACATGCAAATTGGTGTCACTCCACTACGCCCACCAGCCAATCAGATGAGCATGCAAATTAACCCAACAAAGATGGCAGTTAATTTGCATATGCAAGTGCGGAGCAAAGACTGAAGACAATGTAGAAGGAAGCCAAGCGCTGCAGAAGGGAGCGAAGCTGCAGAGAAGCAAGCGGGGGGCGGGGGCGGGGGCTGGTGGAGGTGGGAGCGAAGCCCGCCTCAGTGGGTTTCACTTCCTTCTCTGCTTTGTTCAGGCAGCAGGAAGCCCTATTCTTGCAGGAATCTTCCTGCAATGGGCCTGTACTACAGAATATAAAAAGAACTCTTACAACTCAACAACAACAAAAAGTCAAATAACCTGATTTTAAAATGGGGGAAAGACTTAAATAGACATTTCTCCAAAGATGATATACAAACATGATCGACAAACATATGAAAAGATGTTCAACATCCCTAATCATCAGAGGAATGCAAATCAATTCCACAGTAAGTTATCACCTCACACTACTAACAAACAAACAAGCAGTAACTAGTTCTGTGAAAATGGAGAGAAATCAGACCCTTTGTGCATTGCTGGTGGAATTATAAAATGGTTCAACTATGGAAAACAGTATGGAAATTCCTCAAAAATATGAAAAACCAGAACTATATAATCCAGCAATCTGACTTCTGGGTATTTTTCCAAAAGAATAGAGAGCAGGGTCTTGAAGAGATATTTGCACTCCCATGTTCCCAGCAGCATTATTCACAGTAGACAAAAAAAAAAAAAAAAAGGTGGAAACAGCCCAAATGTCCACTGATGGATGGATAAACAAAACGTGATATATACATACGAAGAAATATTATTCAGCCTTAGGAAGTCTTGTCACGTGCTACCACATGGATGAACACAGAGGACATGAAGCTAAGTGAAACAAGCCATCACAAATAAACAATGCATGATTCCACTTATATATGGTACCTAGAGGAGTCAAATTCATGGAAACAGAATGTAAAATGGTGGTTATTAGGAGCTGAGGGAAGGGGGAAAGAAGAGCTATTGTTTAATGGGTATAGAGCAGCCGTGGGCAAACTACGGCCCTCGGTCTGGATCCGGCGACCGTTTGAAATGAATAAAACTAAAAAAAAAAAAAAAAAAAAAAAAAGAGACCATAGTTTACTTTGAATTTATATTAGTTCACACAAACACTCCATCCATGCTTTTGTTCTGGCCCTCTGGTCCAGTTTAAGAACCCATTGTGGCCCTCGAGTCAAAAAGTTTGCCCACCCCTGGTATAGAGTTTCAGATCTGCAAGATAAAAAAGCTCTGGAGACCTGTTTCACAACGGTGTGACTAGACTTAACACTACTGAACTATACCCTTAAAATCATTAAAATCATAAATTTTATGCTGTGTGCTTTTTACCAGGTTGGGGGGTTGGGAAGAGGCAATGGGGATAAGCAGGAACAACTGAATACTAACTCTTTAGACAGTAAACTGTATTTGAATCCTGTTACTCACCTGTAACAGATACAGTTGCTTAACCCTCAGTGGAAAAAAAAACACTTGTATTGAGAAGTAGAAGACCTGGCTTCTAGCCCCCAAACGTCCTACTAGATAGTAGATGATATTAAAGAATTACTGTTAGTTTCCTTGGCTATAATAGCATTATCCATATACTTTTCTAGAAAGGATTCATAAGGAAGTATTTTTGGGTAAAATTATATTTTCTAAGGTTTTGCTTAATATTGTCCAACCAAAAAAGAAAAACAGTGCGGGGCAGAGATAAATGAATAAAGAACAGCGGAACAGTCACAGCTGTTGAAGCTGGGTGGTGAGCCCACGGAGGTCCAGGAGGTTGTTCTGTGTACTTCATGAAAATTTAAAAATGTTCACAATAAAAAGTTCTCAACAAAGGGGAAAAAGATGGAGGGATGTTTGGAATGGATGACAGTGGGACTAATGCACTGACATTTTACAATAATAGGATCACACCACACATGCCATTGTTAATTTCTTAAAAACGTTTCATTTTAACTTGCTTTTACAGATTTAAAAAATAATAATAAACTAAAATAAAATTGAAAGAATTTTCAAGCTCCAACTAAATATTTCTCTCCACCTCCTCTAGCCATAAACAAAAGAAGAAGGTAAATGGGCGAAGGACAGAGGTGCAGATGGTGCCTCGGCGAGCGACCCTTCAGGGCCCTGTCTGGCCGGTAACGGAGAAGTTTCTGCTGGGAAACTCCCACCGCACCATGGAACACAAGCCAAGCAGGACTAGTCCTTGGACAGGTAAGGCGGGCCTGTTTTGTGTCTAATGGAGAGGAATCAGTCACACTGCACTGGCAGGAAGGCCTGCTGTCAACACTTTGGAAATAAGGAGGGTGGTCTTCCGGATCCCATTATCCACCAGGCAGAGTGTGCACAGAAGACGTAACACAGGCAGAGGACACAGCAAACCCCCACAAATCACCGTGCCCAGCAGCAGGCGGCCCGGGACCCACTCACATCCCCCAGGTTTGTCTGCTCCATAAACCCCTGGGACACCCGCACCCAACACAGTTCCTTAGCAAGCCCCACTGTGCTCACAAATTAACAACCCTGAGTGCTTCCCTTGTGACTGTGCCACATGCAACTCCCACGCCAAGTCCCAGACCCTCCCCACGAGACAGACTTGAGGTAGACATGATAATTATCCCCATTTCAGGGCGAGGGAAACCGAGGCTCAGGCAGCTCAAGTCACCTGCCCCACACTGCCTGGCGGGGAGCAGCAGGGGGGCCTCTCCCGTCAGAGCGGTGCCTGTGGTGCCCGTTGGAGAAAGAATCTCAGTCACAAACATGTCAACGCTGAGCCCAGGTCCTCCGTCCCCTCAGAGAGGTCTTTCCTAACAGGACTGCTTATTGCTACCCAGGGGCAAAGGGTCTCTTGGTTCTGGCACAAGGGCCAGTCACGGTAACCTCTGGCTGTTTTCCTGTGGGTCCAGTGGCCAGCAGAGATGGCCCTATGGTTCTGTGGCCAGAGTCCTAGGACAGTTCTATGGAGGTCAGGCCAGGGGACTGGAAGCCAGTCTGGTAGGAAGGATGCTCCCAGCACTCCACAGCCGGGGAGTGCCCTGCTGGAGCACAGGGGCCTGCCACTCCCCGTGCAACTTCCCCACTGGGAGAGAGGGAGCCTGTTTCCCACCAAAAAAAAAACAAAAACACAAAAAAGTCAGACCCAAGCCTGGGGTGGGACTCCAGTTTCCTGACTCTTCCTCTAATATAACAGACATCCTACACTGAACTGAAGCTAGCCCATGTAGTTACACAAGTGAAGTGAAATTAGCCTCAAGCAAACCACTTCGAAAAGAATATCAGGTTCTAGGTCCTTGTTCTCTGACGGTAATTGTCTGAACCCTGAACCACCAGACAGTGGAGAGAACACTTTCTTTGGGAGGTAGAAGACGTGATTTCCACCCCCAGAAACTCCCTGTCATGTTGCCAATGCCCTTGGGCCCCGTTTCCTCATCTCTAAATAGGGAACAGCAGCCTGTCCCTAGGGTGACCTCACCCAGTTGTATAAAAGGACCCAAACACCCTCGGAGTCCCCAGGCAGCACTCTTACCATCACCTACCAAGGTGCTCTGTTTCTGCCCACCCCACCCCCAACCCCCAAGGCCCAGGAGAAGCAGACAGTAATAGCATCACTCAAGGTCTGGAATAAGATGAGCTCTGTAGTCCAGCAGGTTTTGCCAATTCTCTCAATAGAGGGGACTCTGAGAGAACCCAGGGGGAAAATAAATTCTTCTTCTCCAGCAGCCAGAGGGGGCCTCCATCTCACCTGCTCTCCCAGATTACTAGCAACATGCCCCTTACCCAGAAAGCTCTGCATCAATGATTCTGGCAACTGCCTAAGTCCCAAAGAGGGTTTGAAAGGCACTCAGAGTTCCTTCCCTACTCTGCTTTCTAGAGGCATCCCTTTCAAGCAACCCCATGTTTCTTTCCATTTATTCCTGGGAGTCCTGCAGAGAGGGGGGGTTTACTCCATATCATCTGGACAATAAATGCCCGTTCTTATGCATGTGACTTCAGTGGCCTCACAAATGCATATAAGAAAGCAACTGGCCATTGACAGAGCTAACCTGCCAGGCAGCCCCACCACACATCACTGTTCCAACCAGCCTGTGGCCAGGGTGTGTCAGCAGGGCTGGGCAGGAAAGGCTGGAGGGCGTAAAGCAGGCAACCCACCCCGAAGAGGGGCAGAGAATGAGGGCAAGGGCAGAGGATGAGGGTGGGGCCAGGTTCAAGGAGCCCGCTGCAGGATGAGCTCTGTGATCTCTGCCCTGCTCCCCAATCTCATGGGGATCCCATAGTAGGCCGTGCCGGGGCTGACATATACAAATGTGGTCTGAGCCACCTGGTAGAGACCAGCAAAGAAGGGGTTCAGGAGATAGGCCGCCACATTCAAGGGGAAGATTTGCCCAGCATGTGTGTGCCCAGAAAGAATCAGGTTAATATCCGGCCGAGCCTGAAGGGCTCTCTTGGCAGCCAGGGGCTGGTGAGCCAGCAAGATGGTGGTATGGTCCCGGCTGCAGCCCCCCAGCGCCTTCTCAAGATCCATTCCGTGGCCAGAGTAGTGCAGGATGTCTGCTTCAATGTCATCCACCCCGGCCAAGCAGATCCAGTCATCCTCCTTGCCGCCACCACGCTGGGCCCGGGTGGCGGATATCTTCACGTTCTCGTTGTGCAGCGGCCTGACATTCAGGGACTCCAGCAGCGCAAACCAGTTGCTCACATCTGACGTGTAGTATTCGTGATTCCCGGTGACGAAGTAGGTGCCCAGGCGGGAATGAAGCCGGTCTAAAGGAGCGACAGCCGTCCGCAGGATCGAGGCTTCTGAATCGCAGAGGTCCCCCACGATCACCGTGACATCTGGTTCCAGCATGTTCACCATCCTCACGAACATCTCCATCTTGGTCCTGCCCACGGTGGGGCCCAAGTGAATGTCTGAGAGGAGCACGATCTTGAGGTTGTCCATCGAGGTGGGCAGCTGATGGATGGGCACCTCCACGGTCTTCACCACCGGGGGCTGGGCAGCATTCAGCAGCCCTGCTATGCTGAGCACGGCGGTCACGGCCACTGCCAGGGCCGGCCTGAGCGCCAGCTTCCTTGTCTTGTCCAGGCTGCCCACGACCCGACCACTGCGCCAGGCCAAGAGCTGGTAGGCCTGCTCCATACCGCTGAGGGTACAGAGGAAGAACAGCATGATGATGTACGCCCCGAGGCAGGAGTAGGCGGCCAAGGAAAAAAGATAGGGTTCCTCGGCCACTAAAAAGAGCATGGTGAAGAAACTGGAGTGGGCCAGGGCCAGGAAGGCCAGGACCGCCATCTTCCAAAGATGGAAACAGGCCGACTGTGAGGCTGGGGCATGGCTAAGGTTGCTGACAATGCTCCGCCAGATGTAGAGGGAGCCAATCAGCATGAGCGAGTTGGCAAACAGGGCAAGCTGCAGGCGGAACAGCCAACGCCAGGCCCTGACCTCGAGGCTCTCGGACAGGTAGGAGCGGGAGATAATCATGGACACGAAGACAGTGCCGGCAGCCAGGGTGGCCTTCCCGACCAGGGAGAGGTGCCTGAAGATCACCATTTTCTCAGCTCCTAGGAGGGTCCCCTGGCAGGTCTGTGCAGGTGGGCTCTGGAAGGTGAGTTCCTTAGAAAGGACAGTGGCCAAGGAGAGGGTTCCGGGTCAGGTCAGGTCCGCCTGCAACCAGGAACCCGCATCAGCTTTGTGGAATGTTAGCGCTTTCTGGTCCCCGTTCAAAACCTGGGGGTCACTTACAGGGGCCCAACCTGCCTAGACTCCACACCACCAATCAGTGGCCACACTTCATCAAGGCAGTACAAACACAGTGGGTTGTAACATGACGGGCAGCTTTCATTTTCTTCTTTTCCGTTTTTTTCCCCACAAGGAAAAACGTATGGAATTTCTTTTACAGTAAGAAAAACGTTATTCTAAACCAGCGGTTCTCAAAGTGTGGTCTGCGAGACCCTTCCAGGGGTCCGTTTAGTTAAAATTGTTTCCATAATAATACTAATACTAAGCCATCACTGCCCTTCCCTTTCTCATTCTCTCATGAGAGCACAGCGGAGCTTTTCAGACGCTATGTGACGTATGCTATGGCAACACTGAATACAGGCGCAGTTAGGAGGCTCCGACTGTCCTGGATTAAGACGGACATGAAAGACATTTGCAAAAGTGAAAACTAATACCACTCTTCACCCTAAAATTCGGGGAGAAACATTGTTATTTTCCCAAAAAACGTAAGTTTCTTAACATGTAATAGATTAATAAATATTTTTAATTTTAATTCCTAGGACAGTTAAAAGTTTGAGAACCGCTGTTCTAAATAAATGTAAACAAGGGAACTAGCAGGTTTGGCTCAGTGGATGGAGCGTCGGCCTGTGGACGGAAGGGTCCCAGGTTCGATTCTGGCTAAGGGCACATGCCTGGGTTGCAGGCTCCATCCCTCCACAGCAGAGATCAATAATTCTCTTCCATCATTGATGTTTCTATCTCTTTACCTTCTGAAATCAATTTAAAAAATATATTTTAACCCTCTGAGTGCCAACCAATATCCTAGGAACTATGCTAAAATTGCCAAGGCATTTTTGCTGATTTTACAGCAGTTTGGGAAAAAAATCATGAATCGCAAGTAAATGAAGTTACATATTCAAAAACTTAAGGAAACCTTTACTACATTTGTTTTCATCTTTGACATATATTGTTTGCTGATTGTATTATGAAATACTAGTAGAAAAAAAATTTGAACAAAACATGTTAAAATAAAATTAATGTTGACTTTGAATACATGAATGAAGATATTGTTTAAATCTTAATAAGATTTTGATAAAAAATCTAAAATATTTAGATAAAAAAGCAGACTTAGGACTGGACGCCATTTCGAAGCTTTAGGGCTACAAAATCTGAGTAAACTTCATAAAAATGCCAAAGGCCAATTTTAGAACTACAAACAGTCGGCATCACAAGTAATCTGCACTTAGGTGCCATCTGTCAATAAAGAGTGAACTACTAGCATCTAATAGTGACACTGCAGGAGGAGCGCGATAGACAGGGGGAGCGGCATTTTTGGGGGAAAGACAGGAGGAACGCGATCACGCTCCCCGGCACTCAAAGGGTTAAAAATGACAAATGTAAACAAGGGCATCACAGAATGCTGTCCACTGGTAGCTTTCTTCAGCTCCAGGTCCAGGCAGGGACACTTAGACATGGAAGAATTCCTGGGGGAGGCCAGCCTCCCAGTGTGAGCCTTGGCACGGCAGTCAGAGGGCACCCCGCTGCTGAGCGATGCTGCACAAAGATGAGCAACCATTGCTCAGGGGACTGCCCTGCCCACCAGCTCCTCATCTATAAACCCATCTCTCTCCCTTCCCACAGCCCACCCAGATATAAAGATCTGTCTTCCCCGCACACATCTGTCTCTGCCACTGTTCCCATGGTCCTCACCTCGGGCTAGCTCTCACCTGGGGGGTTCCTCCAGGCCTCCTGGCCAAAGAATCTGGGGCACAGGAGCCACAGGCCCCAGTAGTCAGGGTAGCAAATACTTCATGTGAGCTGCCGTTTTCCCAAGAGGAACTCTAAATTAAAATGTGTCCAGTAGGCGTTTCCAAATACTTAAGATTCTTAAGCTCTGGGTTTCATGGAAATGTGTGACTTTGCTCTAGGCAAGTTATTCTACGCCTTTGATCAAAGGGTATGATTTACAGGTCAATGGGCCCGCATTTCACCACTTCTACTTAAAACGTGCCCCGAACTCAGCCCACCCAGACTCTGGAGGAACCAGGGTTGGTTGGCGGAATGTGCAGAGGGGCTGGTGCGGTTTCAACTCCCTGCTGTTCTTCTCCCGCCAGACGCGTCCCCCGCCTCGCCTACTTGCTCCCGCAGACCTCCCTCCAGCAGCTCTGGCTGCCACCTGCCGCCCGCCCTCGGCCTCGACTGCCAGACCCGGAAGGTTTGGAAAATCCAAGTCAAAAAGAGGAGGCGGCTGAGAGCGGCGAGAAGGGCACGAGATGTTTGGCAAGAGGACGTCTCGAAAGCAATGAACCCTAAGTTCCCATTGCGGGGGGGGGCCTCCCCTGACCCCATTTTCTCCTTCCGGAGCGCCCCGCAGAGCACACACTGGGCAAGGGAGGGCGCCCCAAACCGGAGCCCAAGACTTCCTCCTCTCACGCGCGCTATTTAGAATCGCCCCCCTCCTGGAAAACTGCGAAGTTGGAAGGGTGTGGGCGCACCTCATCTCACCCCTCTCCTGGCACCTTTGGGGACCTGGGTCCCAGCGAAACCGGCGTCCGGAGCGGAACACACCAGCGACCGGCTACCGGGAAGGACGCGCGCCCCGCCCGGCCCGCCCCCGACGGGAAGGCCAGTCTACTGCCTGCGCTCCGCAGGCTGCCGGCCAGCGGCGTGCACCCCGGGGGCGCAGGACCACCGCCCTGCAGGACCCCTCTTGCGCAGCCCCAGCTGCGTCCTTCGCCAGCATGATCCGTATCAGTGCATCCCCGCGTGGAGATCCTGTGGACTTACACGAAAGCTGCGCGCAGTCCCTGGCAACAGCGACACCAGCAACAGAGAAAGGATGCGCTCGACCCCCAGCATGTCCACCCTCCAGCTTCCCGGCTCCGCCACAGTCGGCGCCGGGGCCAGCCGCTCAGCGTCACCGGACTGA